TTTGTCCCTTTTTTTATTTTTGTTCTTTCTTTTTTGTTCTTGTTTTTTCCTTTTTTTCTTCTTTTCTTTTTTCTTTTTGCCCTTTTGTTCTGATTGAATCATCGCACTTGGCATTTGGTTCACCTTTCGGTATCTCATCTGAATCAATGTCTTCACTCATGTGAGCAGATTTTCTCCACCTTGCCCCCCAGTGTGGAGGGTGATCCTTGGTTAGGGTTGAATCAGAAGAAAAAAAATACTATAGGCTCAAAAGGGGATGCAAGGGATATATTTTCTCCTGTTGTGAAGGGATAAAGAAAGAAAGCCGTTCATCATTTCATACATGTAAGTATTCACAGAAGAGGTATCCTCAGGGGGATAGATTTTCAGGATTAATTATATTCACATGAAAACAGTGCAATTAATGCATGATAGAATTATTTCAAATGAATTATTTTTTCTGCTCCTTGCTCCCATCATGTCTCAATGTTCAGGCTCCCGGCGAGATGTCCCAAATTGTATCTTGGAAGAATGCTCATGTTCAAATGAACAACTCAATGCCTTGGGTTTTAATGGTAAAAAAGGTTAATTTTGAGTCTAAAAAGACAGTTGTGTGATCTTATTGACTCAAAGAAAGGTATGGGTGTATCAAAAGATAAAGGTAATGTTCAAGAATTTCAAATGGAGGTAATGTCAAAATTTGGTTTTTTGGTAATGACCATGAGTTATTTGGGTAAAGAATCAAGGTATTTTATTCTAGGGTTTGAGACATGGTAAGAAAGGTCTAATCTTGTCATATGTCAAAAATCTATAATTCTTGAAGAATTAAAAGAATCCTTAATTCATTTAATATTCAAAGAACTAAAGATTAAAATTTGTTCAATTGCTCCACCTTAGAAAGTAACATGAATTCAATCGTTTAAAAGATGTGTTCAAACAAAACAATCCTATAAGTACAAATGGTATATGCCATGCCCCCTTCTTCGGCAAGCGCCTTACAGTTTTCAGAAGAATTTTTGGGAATCCTTATGTGGCAACAGCTTCAACATCGTAGCCCTTAGGAGATGGGTACTCTTTTCTCAGATCATCCTGGCAGGCTTAGTCCTACAATCAGCTGATCCAGCTCCCTGTACTGATTTTAGTTTTTCTTTAATTGTTAAAATCTTACTTTCATGTGGTGTAATGTGGTTAAGATCGAATCATCCGTGACTTAATTTCATGTTTATGAATATGCTTAAAAATGTAGATGAAGATGCAAAAATGCAAGAATGCATGAAATGTTCGAGGCATTGATCCAAGAAATGTGCATGTTATTATGAATAATCCTTATTGGGGACAAAAATGTTTTATCTTTTAAGAGACAAAAATATCCTGACAGCTTTTAACATGTTGACTAGTCTTCTGCTTTCGTCTTTCACCGGTTGAATAACCTGTCGAACCGCTCCGGCCTCTCTAGATGAACTGTGAAAATGTTGAGTTATTTTTCGTACTGGTCCAAGAAGTCTTGAATGATCACATCTCGAGCATTTACTTTTGTTGAGTATGTTCCCAATGAATTCGTCATTGGAGCCCTTAATTGATAGGAACTATGTGAAGTTCATTAATATGTTTCTTGAATTCGCCAGCAATGGTCTCCAATTTCAGCTATCATTTTGCCATTGTCGTGTTCAAAGGGACTTCCAAGATACATAACCTTCATCCTGCCCCTGCAACCTCTTCCAGTCAGTTCTTCAAAGATAAGCTTTCATTGTGCTTGATGTAGACCCGGTTCATTCTGAGTCATTTATAATGTAGCAGAGTGATATACTCTTCAATTGTGGGCACCACGTCTTCTGGATTGAATGTGACACATAGTCGCCTTGTAGACTATCCTTTGTATTTTCATCTCTTGTATTACAACACCTTTGTTCATGGATTCAGATTATTCGAGTTTTAACAAACACGTTTTAGTGGATTAATACCTCTTTTAAATGATGCAAGTGATGAAAATAAAAGAAAAGAAAAGAAAGATGAAAAGAGTTAGTGAGGTGAAAATAATAAAAAACGATCATGAAAATGAAAAATCCTACCCCACATGATATCTACCCCACATGCTTATTATTCCTACCCGGCCATGATCTCTATCCTGCATGCTAATCTCAAACAAATCCTAATCGCATATTTGTCTAGTTCGCATGCTTTGAACATAAAGTAAGGCAGGAAATAAAATCAAAGCAGCCTAAGGTTTGGAATGAGGTTTTGGGGTGGGCTCTAATTCTCTATCATCTCCCGGTTTAGGCTCTAAAAAAACGGTACCCGAGTTCTCCTGCCGGTGCCCCCTTGGGCTGCCAGACCCTTAGTCCTAAACCCATCACAGGCTTGTATGGACTAAGTTAAACTCGAGAGGACACATTCCCTTATGCCCGCACGGTGAATAAATTCACACGAAGACATAAGGTATATGAATCCCGAAGGCTACTTGCTAGGCCCGCACGGTGAATAAATTCACACGAAGGCGTCGCTTTCACCCCCACTTAAATAGGGTTTAGAGCTCGGGTATAGAGCCTTAGATGAAAAAAGACTTTAAGTGCTGAAATCATTGAGAAAACGGTTAGTACAACTATTTACTCGAAAAAATATAATCAAAAGTAAGCAATAAGGATCGAAATGTTACCTTAAAATTTAAACTTACCATTTTCGTTAAAAAGACAACTGGAAATTACCTTAGCCTGACTCACTTACCTGTGTCCCCAGCGGAGTCGCCAAGCTGTCGCAACCGTCTTTCGGTTGGGCCCCGGAATTGGGCTTCGACTTAGGAAAATGGATTGGAGTCGCCACCGATCATTTATTTAAAAATAAATGGGTTGATCGGATACCCTATTTCTTACCTGATCTGCGTCTTACCAGAAATATGTCGGGCTCGGGAGTCGGTTACGGTCAAGGAAGGATTAGCACCCTTGAACCGCCCTTTCGGTACTACGTAATTTCCAGTTGTCTTAATTAAGAAAAATAACAAGTTAAATTAAAAGGTAAAGTTTCGACCCCAATTACTTACCCTTTATTGATTTGAAAATCCTTAAAAAATCGAGAAATGTGTTAGATAAACAAGGTAAATAAAACAAATAAGGTAAAAGGGAAAATAAAATAAATAAAATAAATAAATAAGATAAAGGAAAAACAATAGTAAAGTAATAATTATATATAGTAATATTTGAAAAAGGAAAAATATATATATATGTATACATCAAAGTATTAAAAAATAGAAAAGTTACCCTCTCACTTCACCGAAAGTGAGGGTCTTTAGTCAGAAATAAGACAAAAAATAGGTCCTCTAGGTTAGTAATATATAATATAATGTTTAATAATAATAATGATAAAGACACAAGATTTTTTTAAAATAATATAATAATAATAAATAAAAAAACGAAAATAATATATATATATATATATATATATAAAGTTATAAGATATATACGTAAATAAAAAAATAATCAAATAAAAATAATTAAGAATATATATATTAATAATAGGTATATAAATCAACCATTAAAAGTATAAAAAATATATGACTAGATAAAGATAATTACAATATATATAGTAATAATAGACTTATAAGTAGAATATTAAAGAAATATATATATATACATATAAATAATAACATAAATAATAAAAAAAATGAATAAAATATCCATATAATAAATAAAGGGACTAATATAGATTTTTAAAAAGCTCTTCCACTCCTTTAACCGAAAATCAAACCGGTTTTTCAAAATAAGCCTCGGGGTAGATCTAGGTTTGAAACTTCGAAACCCTACCCATTTTGGTCATCAGCGCAACCCACGTTTTGGGTTATTCGAACCAAATCTCAAGAAAAATAACGTGCACATGCAAAAGAAAGAAAAAAGAAAATGCTACCTTTTATTTCCTTTTCGAATCCTTTACAATAGCTTTGCCTTTGTATCCTCCCGTGCTTTCCTCTATGTTTTGTGTGTAAATCGTGTGTTACAATGGTGAGTTACAATGGCTATTTATAGTGCTTGTGGATCCTATCTTTAGGAATTTAAATCTTAGTAGAACTCTATCCTATTTTTAGGAGTTTGAATCCTAGCAAAATGTTATCCTATTTTTAGGAGTTTGAATTCTAGTAGGACGAAAAGGTGTGTTGACAATAATTAATATTAAATATTTATTCTTTATTTATTAAAATAAATAAATAAATAAAAGTGAAAATTTGAAGCTTATTATTAAGTTAATTGAATAAAACCAAAATAAGTTTATTTCATTTCTGATTATAAATAAATTCATTTAGTAAATCATTTTAAATTCGTACCAAGTTTCTGTATTGCTCAATTGTTATATAATAATAATTTATGTGCATTTTACTTATTTTATCTAAAAATATATTTATTATGGATTATTTGTTTATTATTTTGGAATGATAATACAAATATTGATGTTTATGTGTAATTATTTTATATCTAAAATCATATTTATTTATAACGTGTTGGTTTATTATTTTATATTTTAATATTGAATTGAAGTATAAAAATATTTATATTTAATATTAAAAAAATTAAAAATCTTATTAATTTTGAAAATAAAAAGGGTAAACTACATGTTTAATACCTAAACTATTACTTTTATTCCTTTTTGGTACTCAAACTTTATTTTTAAAACTATACCTAACGTTTAGTTTAGATTTCATTCTGGTTTCCCGTCGTTAAAAACTTAACAATAATATTGATGTATCATCATAAAATAATACCATATCATCATAAAATAATACCATATCATCATTAGAAAAAATTTCACATCAACAATTCTGTTAATTTTTTAACGGTGAATACCAAATTGAAACTTAAACTAAATGTTAAGTATATTTTGAAAATAAATAAAGTTTTCATATCATAAAGGAACATAAGTAATAGTTTAGGATCTAAACGTGTAGTTTACCCAATACAAAATAAACTATTTAGATCGGGATCATACCCGAATGGAGTTGGAAATTTTGAGATCTTCGGAACAGCAGGACCTTGCCTTGAGCGCCTTGCATTATGCAGTCTTCATTGACAACAAAATAGTAAGTTTGAGTGAAATCCAAAATCAAGAGGAGAAATGAGAATCGTCCCAGGTTCTGCGGATAATCGAGATGCCGAATCACTGTTCCGTTCCAACCCAATATCCGAAATCCGCAATGTCGAAGCCTTCACCAACAAGCAGATCGAAGACAAGAAGGAGGAGCTCCGGCAGCTTGTTGGAACCCGCTACCGTGACCTCATCGATTCGGCTGACTCCATCCTCCAAATGAAATCAGCTTCCGAATCTATTTCCTCCAATATCTCATCCATCCATCTCTCTATCCGCTCCCTCTCCGTCTCCGCGTTGGAACCGCCGTCCCCTAAGCTCCAAACCCCGCCTAACACCACTACCACTCGCATCCGCATCTATGGGATCGCCTGCCGCGTCAAGTACCTGGTAGACACGCCGGAGAACATCTGGGGCTGTCTCGACGAGTCCATGTTCTTGGAAGCGGCCGCCAGGTATATTCGTGCCAAGCACGTCCATTCCAACCTGATGCTTCCGGATGGTGATTTGGATCACAACAACATCTTGTCCAATTTCCCCCTTCTTCAGCACCAGTGGCAGATTGTTGAAAGCTTCAAGGCTCAGATCTCCCAGAGGAGTCGTGAGAGGTTGTTGGATCGTGGCCTGCCCGTCGTTTCGTATGCGGATGCCTTGGCTGCCGTTGCCGTCATTGATGATCTGGATCCGCCTCAGGTTTTGGGCTTGTTCCTTGAAGCCAGAAAAACTTGGATATTGCACACATTGAGTGCTTTTGCTGGTAATGCTGATGCTACCTCTTCTGTTTCCATTTCGGTTTTTTGTGATGTTTTAAGCATAATTCAGGTGACCGTAGCTCAGGTAGGGGAGTTGTTTTTGCACGTTATGAATGACATGCCTCTATTTTATAAGATTCTTTTGGGTTCTCCCCCTGCTTCTCAGTTGTTCGGTGGGATTCCAAATCCTGCTGAGGAGATCAGGTTGTGGAAATCTTTCAGAGATAAATTAGAGTCTGTAACTGTTGTGCTTCATAAAACTTTCATTTCTAGCACTTGTTGGAGTTGGTTGAGGGATTGTGGAGCACATATCACCAGTAAGATTAATGGGAGGTACCTCATTGATGCCATACCTAGTGGCCAAGAGCTTAGAACTGCTGAACAATTGATAAGGCTGACAATGGAAAGCAAGGAGGTTTTGCAGGGGAGTTTGGAATGGCTTAAAACTGTATTTGGGTCTGACATCGAGTTGCCTTGGAATAGCATCCGAGAACTTGTTCTGGAAGGTGATTCCGATCTTTGGGATGAGATATTTGAAGATGCTTTTGTCAGGAGGATGAAAATGATTATTGACTCAGGGTTTGAGGATCTGACCAGAGATGTCAATGTGTCAGATTCAATCCACACTATTGCGCCAACTGCTGGTGAGAAGATTGATTATGAGACATATTTGACCAGGCCTTCTGCAGGTGGTGGGGTTTGGTTTACAGAATCCAATAGCTGTAAGAAGCTTGGTCACCTTTTGGGAAGTAGAGCACTGCGTGAGGAAGATAATCTCCAAAGTTGTCTCAATGCCTATCTTGGTCCTGAAGTTAGCCGAATTAGAGATCAAGTGGACAACCGCTGCAAAAGCGTTCTTGAGGATCTATTGAGTTTCCTAGAATCTTCCAAGGTATCTGTGAGGTTGACGGATCTAGTTCCCTATCTGCAGAACAAATGTTACGAAAGTGTGTCATCTATATTGAAAGAACTCAAAACTGAGCTTGATATTTTGTACACTGCCATTGGAAGTGAACACAAGGAAGGCGATTCAATGCGTCCTCCTATAATTGTTGAGAGATCTCTATATGTTGGGAGACTCTTGTTTGCATTTGAGAACCACTCCAAACATATTCCTGTGATTCTTGGCTCTCCACGGTTCTGGGTGAAATACATATCTCCCGCAACTTTTGAGAAGCAACCTTCCTTATTGTGGAAATCTAAATATGTCAACAGTTATCCTTTCTTTGACAGCCTTGGAAGGCAGATACTTTCTAGTTCTCAGAGGCAAAGTTCGTATGCTACTGCTGCATTGCTTGGAGCAAATGAAAGTTCAAGCCCAAAACTGGAGGATCTTTGTAAGATTATGGGAGAGCTGCGTATTAGAGCTTATAGCTTATGGATATCATGGCTATCTGATGAGCTTTCAGTTATTCTCTCCTGGGAGCTTGGAAAAGATGACGGGTTGTCTGCAACAATTCCCTTAAGGGTAACAATTCCCTCTCCTTTTGTCTCTGTTTTCATGTCATTAGCTTGAGAAATGGAGCTATACAGGAAGGATTTAGGAACATGATTAATCAAAGTTGGAAGATGATAATTAGGGTCTACGAATATGGAACAACTTCATATAGTGGTCCAATTTAATAAGGGTATATAACTTATCCAAAGACTATCTATACCAGGGTGGATGTACTATTAGTTCAATCTTTTGTATGATTAAACCCCATCTAGTCCTAGCTATTCAAACTTAATAACAGATCACATCACATGCTAGTTACATAACCACTTAATAAATTAAAATCTAATTGTATAAAGATAAGCAATTCAAATAACTACTGGAATAATCCTACATCATAGAAGAAGTGTTTCTGACATGAGGAGGTTATCGATAAATATACATTCTTCATTTATTTTCAACACTTTGAGGTGTTTCTCAAGCTTCTTGAGATTGGCCTTCATACTTACTTTTAACATGCAAGATTTATGTTTCTTCTGCATGTATGCAATCCACTCACTGACACACCATTCATCATTTATTTTCATGTTTTACTTTCTTCTTTGGCATGTAAAATCATGGAAACAACATATGAATGCAACAAAGCAGTTCATTGGATGAATGAAATTTTAGAATCTTGCAAGGAAAAGTTTTGCACTTTTCCTCATCTCTGGAAGCTTTATAACTTTTGAACACTATTGCTGAGGTTTGATTGGTATTAATGCCTTTTTAGACAATCATCTATTCAAATTAATATCGTTTGCTTAATTAATTTAAGTATATGCTTTTAAGCTTGTTAGGTCCCAAAATAGAAGTATATTTATTGTAAGTGTATTAATTTATCTAGTATTCCTTTTAAGCATATTCATTTATCTTTATTTATTGTTCAGGGTTGGGAAGAGATAGTTGTTAAGCAAGAGTTTGATGAGGGGGCATCAGAGATGAAAATATCACTCCCCTCTATGCCTTCTCTCTATGTGATCTCCTTCTTATGTCAAGCATGTGAAGAAATTCATAGTATTGGAGGCCATGTTCTCGACAAATCAATTGTGCAAAGGTTTGCATTAAGCCTTATAGAAAAGGTACAAAGTTTGTCTTGCATCATGTTCTTTGATTATTCTAGCAACTCTGCAATTGTCCTGCTTATATTCTACATACCAAAACTATGCTGTATATTCTTTAATTACTTTCTTGATGGTGTTATTTCTGAAGTTCCTTTTCTTGTAAACATATACATTAAATCCTTAATTTACAGTTTATTTGTTGTAATTGTAATTGTTAAACTGCATATAGTTATAGCATTGTTTCTTAACTTGCAGTTGTCATCTGTTGAGGATCCTTTTTATATGCAGCACCATACCATATGTTTTTTTTTCACGTATATAGTTTCTTTTAATTTTTGGGGGTTTATTACTGTAAGAGCAGATGACCATCTGATTTGCTGTTCATTTTTTGAATACTAGAATTTGGTACAACCATCATGATGGCAGTTGTTTCACTTTTTAAAGAAATCTTAATAATCAAGTTATTTATTTATTTTCCCTTGGGTTTTGTAAAATTTTAAAGAGGAATAAGGGAATCTAGTAAATCAGTATCTTGTTTTTAATACATATCTGTTTCATTTTTTTAAAAGCTCTTTTGGTTTACTTGTTACTGTCCAACTTATGTGTTAGTGTGGACTTAGATTGATATAGAAGTTTAATGCTGTCTTGTTGCTCATCGTTTTATGTGAAAGAAATTATCTTTGATTTGAAAGTGATTTTAAATTTCCAATTATAAAATTAGATGTCCATCAATCGTAATAAATGCCGAAGTGGAGGAAGAAACTGAAGCTGACAGCGGTGGTTAGAATGTTAAGGTTATGGTGGATATAGTAAATCAGAGCAGGCTCAATGTAGGTATATGATGTTTTCTGTGGCCATTGGCGAATTCCAGTTGATTTGGGTTGAAGCAATTGATTTGAAATGAGTGTCTTGGGAATATATAGGCACAACAGCTCAATGATAACATTCTTGAAGAGTTATAGTGTTACTTCTATGCATTTACTTTGTTCCACTTGTTTTGAGCCACTGCTGAGAGGCCCCTTATACTTTGCCTATGTTGGTTTGCATTTCTAGCCGATGAATTGTTTCAATGTTATCTCATATTACAATTTGTTAAATTACTGCAATTGGCGCATTGTAAAAGATGTGTCCTTCATAAACAACATTGGCAACCATGATCTGTGACTTGACAATAGATATGATTTCTATGTTTACATTCACTAGAAAGAAAATTACTCGGTGCTTTTGTATGGAGTATTAAATGATTTCTTTAAATGAAATTATGCTTCTCTCTTGGGAAGTTTCATATGGTGGTAGGTAAGTTTCTTTTAAAAAATATTGACTAAGTTCAAATTATATTTTTCTTAATTCTCATTTGTTTCTATTATTGGGTAAATTTGTTTCTATTCGTCATGTAGGTCATTTCGATTTATGAGAACTTTCTCTCTACTAGAGAAGCCTCTGGAGCTCAACTGTCGGAAAAAGGAATTTTGCAGGTCTTGTTGGACATAAGGTTTGCTGCTGATGTTCTTTCTGGGGGTGATTTCAATGTAAATGAAGAGTTATCTAGAAAACTGAAGTCTAAATCATCATTCAGAAGGAAGCAGGACCAAATTCAGGTTAAGTCTGCTGTTAGAGACAATGTTGATGGGCTGATCTTTTCTCTTTCGCAAAAGTTGGATCCTATTGATTGGTTGACGTAAGTGTTTCCATAACATTTTACATGAATATAAATTGCCAATGTGTCATCTGCTCTCTGGATGCTTCCTTTTGAACGCCTTTTCACCTATCAGTTTTTGTTTTAGAGCCATTATCTCAACTTGTAAATGTTAATGTGTTCCATTTATGTTGTTAGGATTAAGGCATGACCGCATGTGTCTCTTCTGATTAACGGGTGTTTTCTAAACAATTGAAGGTATGAGCCATACTTATGGGAGAATGAGAGGCAGTCGTACCTCCGGCATGCTGTGCTCTTTGGATTCTTTGTTCAACTTAATCGGATGTATACAGATACTGTACAGAAACTCCCTACTAATTCTGAATCGAATATCTTGAGATGTTGTGTGGTTCCTCGTTTCAAATACCTTCCAATCAGGTCCATATTTTTATTTATTTATTTATTTTTCCAGTCTTCTTTTCACTTTATCTATGTATAATACTATCTTGTGTTATTTATTGGCTGTATCTGAATTTCCTGTAATTTATGGTTGGTCATGTAGTGCTCCAGCACTGTCTTCTAGAGGGAATAATGGGAAACCTAATACGGCCAATGATATTACTTCAAGTTCCTGGAAAGCTTACACGAATGGAGAGCTTTCCCATAAAGGTGATTTGGATGATCACCAGAGTTTTGGTGTTGCAACGCCATTCTTAAAATCTTTCATGCAGGTGATTCTATTCATCATTTTTTTCCGTTTAAAATGGTTTTTCTAATTTCCACTGCTATTAGAATGAGAACTCATATGGAAGTAGTGTATACTTCAAGAGCATGCTTGCGTATGCCCATAGATTGGTTTGGTTTTATTTGAACCTGTCTTCTTTCTCCCTTTGTGGTTTTACCATTCCGCAAATAGCACCTCGTAATTTTTTGTTTTCTTTCTAATTTGCACTTAGCACTCTGGGTTTCATCATGTTGTTACGTTAAAGTTGCTTATTACGAAATTGTATGATATTTTGGCATATTTGATGCTTTGGCATATTAAATCTAGATGTTGATAATGAATTTCCTTGGGGCCTTGGCAGGTTGGCAGCAGATTCGGAGAGAGCACATTAAAACTGGGATCCATGTTAACGGACGGACAAGTGGGCATATTCAAGGATCGATCTGCAGCTGCAATGTCAACCTTTGGTGACATTTTGCCCGTACAAGCTGCCGGACTTCTTTCGTCCTTTACAACCACCAGATCAGATTATTGATCTTTTCTGGAAATTTCCGACCTCGACGTTATATGGAGGGTAGGGCCGTTTGAAAGATCCGACCTTGACGATACCGAGTGATATATTTTGAATTTGAAAGTTGAATCCCAAAGAGTGTAAATGCTCGGTTTTCATATTACTTGCAGAAACCGGCACAGTTGTTTTATTAACCATCGTAATGCAAGTTGTAAACAAAAGAAACTAGAGTTTTCTATGTCAAAGAAGAGCTTAATCAAGGTGAGTAGATCTAGATCTCTAAATTTCATTATTCCAACTAGAATATATATGGTATACTTTTTTTAAAAAGAAAAAAGGCCGTTTTATTGCTGAAATAGAGAGAGAGCACATTACTTAGGGCCTCATTAAAAATCCAACCTAACCCTAAGTGGAAGAAAAAGAATGTGCCAGAGCGAAGGCACAAGGCAACTACAAGATTCAAACCAAAACCCTTCTAAGTAAAGCCCTATGCTAAAAAAACTAAGCATTACCAATCCAAGGCATTAAAACCAGAAAAAGAACACCAGTACAGCCAAACCAGCAACCATTGAAACTCCCTAACCAGGGGAAGAGCGTGATGCCAATTTAGCCAGTTGGTCTATCACTGAATTGCGGCTTCTTGAAATGCGTCTCACAGCGAAATTTTCTCTGCAACCAGCCGAAAAACCTGCACCCATCCGGGAGGAATTGAAGTTGGATTTCTCAACTAATTCACCGCAACTTCAGTCACACTCTAGAATAAGATCTGCAAACTTATGCCAAACTGATCCTAAGAAAATCGCATGTTCTACTGCCAGAATTTCAGCCTGCACTGATGACCCACTCCCACTTGGGACCGAGAAGGTTGCCAAAACAGTACCGGTAGAGTCTCTAAGAATCCCCCCCCCCCCAAATTCCTCCTTCACTCCCATCAACCCGCATTAATCCATCTACGTTGAACTTCAAAGAACCTTTCGAAGGTGGAATCTGAGCCAACGGAGGATTCGAAGCTTTCTTCAAGAGAAGAACGTCCTTCAATAGTTAGATCGGCAGCCAGACTTTCAACGCTGAATTGGGCCGAAGGAAATTTGGCCTTCACCCAACAAGCTGCACGATATTTTACTTAGAAAACCAGCGAACTTCTTTCCATTAAAGATCACTTCATTCCTGAGGAGCCAAGTAGACCAGATAATCGCCAATGACATTAAGCCCAAACGGTTTCATAGGACATTCTTAGAGGGAGGGACTCGCACCAAGCCTGCATAAAATAAATGGGATCATTTGGGAGGGCAATCGAGACTCCCCACGAAGATAGAAAAGTCCCCCAGACTTTTCAAACTACCGAGCAAGAGAAAAACAGATGTTCGACCGATTCCGAGAAAACCAAGCAGAGCGGGCATCAGGAATCCGGCACCGCAACTCCTCTCTTCTCAAGTTCCGCTCTGACTGGGACTCTTCGCGGAGCACCCGTCATAAGAAGGCTTCCACTTTGAAGGGGCAATTCCTAACCAAACAATTTTTTTTCAATTAAACCCAGGCTGCCCACTTGTATATATTAGATTCGACGCTGATTTAACCGAGTATATTCCACCACTAGAACCCAACCATTTGACCTAATCTGAGCGTGAAGACGAACTCACAAAACTATCAAGAAACCGAAGCATGCCTTCTCATTGTCGCCTTTTTAGGTCAAAAACATCCCTTCTTAGCTGAATATTTCAACACCACCCCGCCTCGTTTCGCACCCCGAAATCGAATATTGGAGCCTCTTTGTTAATAACCAATGCATCGGAAACATCTCTTTTAAAGGGCGATTGCCTATCCACTTATTTTGCCAAAACCTAATGGCAGCCCCGTCTCCAACTTGAAGCTGAAAAGGCTCTTGTAGGCTCGTCTCCACTCCCACCTCAATGAAAGTAGATAAGATTTCTCGTCACATCCAAGAGGTTCCGCAAGGATGTGAAAGTGGAGGAAGAATAGTCTTCTGATCAAGGTTGTATTTAGCGGTAGTCATTAGTTTTCAGGAATTCGAAACCTCATTGTAAAATCTCCAGCACTATTTTTCTAGAAGTCCAAAATTTGTCTGCTTGCGATCCACAAAGCCACGTTCTCCAACATCCATACACAATATTATGATATACTATAATGCTCGTTCCTACATAATACATAAATATATACATGCATGTAAATATTGTCTAGCATGGTGCTAACAATGATGAGTGCATATATGATATACTAAAATGCTGGTACATACATGCATACAGATATATAAATGATATATATAAATTCTTACCCACTTTAAATCATTTACAATTTTAGGTAGGGATATAAATGAATCAAGTTTGAACGAGTAATGTTATGTTTGTGTTTGTTTAAATTTTTAGTATTGTGTTCATGTTTGTTTTTCTTTTTTAAGTGTTCATGTTTGTTTTTCTTTTTAAAGTGTTTGTAATTATTCGTTTAGTGTTCGTGAATATGTTTGTGAACATATTCGTTTAACTTTTGCGAATATGTTCATTATACGTTCACTAAAATGTTTGTTAAAATTTGTTTAAAGTTCGACAATCAACACTCTCTTTTATTTTTTTATTTGCAAATCAAAGAAAATTGGTGAAATTATGCCACCAGTTCTTAATTTCTATAGGTTTCACAGTTTTAACTCTAAAGTTCACATTATGTTCAATTTAATTCCTATCTTCAACAATGTTTAAAATGCAAAAAGAAAAGAAGAAGGAGAACTGAGTAAATAATCCAATAAATGAGCTTATAAATGAGTCGATAAATGAGCTTGTTCGTGAATATAAATGAGTCGATAAACGAGCTTGTTTGTGAATATAAATGAATCGAACACACATTTGTTCGTATTCGTTCGTTTATTAAATGAATAAAAAATTGTATTCATAGTCACTTATTTAACTTATAAACAAACATAAACAAATTTCATAGGAAAAATTAACCAACAGTTTGTCGAAGGTTATGTTAATTTACACCAATAATTTTAGGATCTATCTTAATGTATCGAAGTAACAAACAAGTAGAGGAGTTTGATATATCCCAAGTCAGTAAATTTCTTACAAACTTGCGTTTATTTTCTAAACGACGATGTAGTTTTGGATATTAATTCCAGAAGCGGGGCATTCCAACTTGAGATAAATAGCTTTGGTTCTGATCTTGCTTCTCCAAAGCTCTCACGTTAAGTATCCAGCTTGTCCAGATGATTCTTGATCACCCTTCGTCAGATTCCAAGCTATCATCAACAATGGTTTCGGCCAGCATGCTCGGTTCGTGCCGGTGAAAATCAGGTTGGTTTGGTTTCGGGAGAAGCAGTGCAATTGCTGCTCATCTGAATTTTGTTGATTTTAATGGAAAGTGGTCATGCAAGAATCCATCAATGGTGATGAACATCCTCCCATGCTACTGTGTTTTGCACTAATCTCTTTGTTTTTGCGGAACACTCGACATTAAAGGCAAACCTTCCTACAAGTTCCAACATCACAAACAAACTTCTATGATCAATTTTAAGCAATCCTATTTTCATGTAATTATAATGTAGTGATTTAAAGCCAAACTAAACTGACATTTAAATTTTAAAAATTTTAGTAATATATAAATACATACAAAGCTTTTCGTCGTTACCATGTGTAATCATACCAATTTTTAACAGTCATGTCAAATGTTAACAACAAGTGAATTGATTGACACGCTTAATTAAACAATTATGTGATATAATTGATAAAACTTTAAAATTGGTGATCAAAACCAAAAGATGTAATAGTTTAATGGTCATATGAATAGTTTATCCTTCCTATAAATGTGTTCATCCTAGTGGTTGAAAGCAAAATAGAAGAAGAAGATACCTTGAAAGTGGAAAAGGGTCCTTGAAGAGTGGATTCATGCAAGACCCAATCAGTTTTAGTTGCTTTGGGTGCCCTACCCTGGTAGAACACTAACGTTTTCCTCATCCCAACAATGGTGCCCTTGCTAAGGACAACCCTATATCTCCCAGAGGTCTTCCAGTACCCCGAGGCTGTTGCTCTATTCGTACGCCATCTTGTTGCATATTTTCGATCTCTTTGACATAAAAATTGCCTTTCATTGCTTCCTACTCGAGCCGTTTCTACCATTAATATAATCACACACACATATATTCTAATTTTTTACATAATGATATGTTGGAAAAATAGACTGTTGCAAAACGAAGCATTAGCATTGACTGTAAAATATTAAATAAAATAATCAATCAGAATGATAATCGTGACGTGGTAATCCACTACATTATAAGCGAATTCGCCCCAATGTATGTAATTTCTACAATGGACGAATAGCCCCCCGAGGTTAACATGACTCTCCAAATTTTGTACACCCGAAAGATGGAGTGAACTTGGTGGTATTGTTCTTCTCTCAACTCAAACAACACGAAAAAAAGAGAAGTGTTTCAAAGCAAATGTTTGCTTGGGATGTCTAAAAGTGAATGAAATTGCTCACTATTTATAAGTTAAATAGTGAGGGCAAAATAGTCACTTACAAAGCACAATTTAATTCTATTCAACATAGAATTAAAAGCCTTTAAAAGACAGTTACAAATTGAGCATTACCAACATTCCCTCACTAATGTGAAAGAATTCTTTTGTAAAGATGAGAGCAGTGAAGTTAAAACACGAGAAGAGTACTAGCAAGATCAGTTGCTTAGTAACTAGAGAACGTATCTTGAACTAGTACATAGTGATGATGAGCAGTCTTTTTCTTATATAAGTGAAACTAGTCTTGAACTTTCTAGATAAGGGTAAACTCATAACACACAACTAACCCCATCATCCACCAAAGTCCTCGATGTAGGTTATTTCATCAAGTCTATCTCAACATAAAACACTCAAACTAAGCTATGAAATAATTAAGAGCTTTTACAACAACTCAACCTCAAAATAGGCAAGGTGAATTTCTTTAAGTTCATTTTTAAATGAACCACCCAAACACTGGATAAGAAATTATTAAGAATAAATATTCAACCTCATTATTTGGTGAATTCAACATGTCCTTCTCACTAGGAACTCCCATTTAATATGTCATTCTCACTAGGAACTCCCAAACTCTTGGGTTTGAATTCATTAAGAGTTTAATAAAACTTATCATCTCAAGCGGTAAGTTCATCTAGTCCTTCGCGATTAGAACTACCCACTCAACTCTGGGTTATGAATTTATTAAGAATAGATATTCAACCAAAGTTGGTAAATTCATCAAGTCTTTCTCACTAAGACC